GGAAGTAGCGGTGATGACTGTTGATATGCAAATGTATTTTATCTTTGAGGGCAAAAGATACCAATGGTTTATGTCGAGATTTTTCGTTTTCGTTCGGAAAAGTTTGGAAATGTCTTTTTAAATTTTTTTTCTCTCTCTCTCTCTCTCTCTCTCTCTCTCTCTCTCTCTCTCTCTCTCTCTCTCTCTCTCTCTCTCTCTCTCTCTCTCTCTCTCTCTCTCTCTCTCTCTCTCTCTCTCTCTGTCACACTACAACGGAATAAAGACGGAGGCATTTGCCGTTAAGCGCTCAGAAAGAGGAAACTTTATATCATTTTTGTAGACGCGGAGTGCCTGGTTCCTGTCTGCAGGCTATCGCGTGTTAGGATAATGTGATGCTATTTAAACAGCATTTGCTTAACGCCAGAATTACTTTGCAGGTCATTTTCTTTAAGTTGTTTCTTTTTTATTATAAACATGCTTCTTTAAAGTTGCTTTTCATATATTTTTTCTCTTCCTCCGCACGCTCACTATCTTTTCTTCCTCATTATTCTATTGTTTCATCAACTTCCACCAACATCACCTCCTCTTTCTCTCTCTCATCATATTCCCCTCCTGCTCCTCCTCCTCCTCTTTTTCTTCCTCTTCCTCTCCTTCTCCTCCTCCCTCCTCCTCCTCCTCCTCCTCCTCCTCCTCCTCCTCCTCCTCCACTCCTCCTCCTCCTCTCACTCCTTCTCCTCTTCCGACTCACATCCTTCTACTCCTCCTTCACCTCTTCTCCCTCCCCCCTTCTCCTCTTCCTCCTCCTCCTCCTCCTCTCCTTCCTCTTCCTGCTTCTCTCTCTCCTCTTCCTCCTCCCCGTTCCTCCTCCTACTCCTCCAGTTCCTCCTTCTCCAGCCTTCGCCTTTTCATACTGTTATGTGTTTTTTATGCTTTCTTCTCCCTCTTTGTGTTGATTTGTTTCTCCATAAGAGAAAGATTTTATTTTTTCTCTGAAAACTTTTTCCCATCATTGTTAAGTCATTTTTTTGCTTTCATGTTTCTCCCCATTTTTTATTTTTTTTTTCTCCTCTTTTCCGTGTGTTCCCTCTCTTTCTGTCCTATTCTATTTTCTTTTTTTCCTTGCTTTCCCCCTTTCCGTCTGAAAGTTTTCCTCGTGGTGTCTCTCCATTCGCTATCATCCTTTTTAATTTCGTTATTACTGTCTTTCTATTTTCTCTTCCTTTTTTGTGTCTTTTTAGCGTGTATTTTTGGTATATATATATGTATACATATTTACATTAATTTCTTCCCCTCCTAGCATTTTTATCTTTTGTTTTATATTCTTATTCTTATCTTATCCTCCCCTTCTCCCTTCCATTCCCCTTCCTCCTTGCCCTTTAGCATCTTCCCCCTATTCTCCTTCCTTCTCTTCTTCCCACTTTTCTCTTCTTCCCGTTCTTCCTCTCTTACCTTCATGCTCTCCTTTCTCGCCTCGCTCTTTGTGCCCTTTCCCCCTCTCTTTTCTCTACCCTCCTTTCCCTTCTTCTCATTTATCCCCGTCTGTCCTCTTCCCCCATTTTATGCCCTCTTCCCCTTCTTTCTTCTTTATTCCCTCCTTTTCTTCTTCCTTTCGTCTTTATGTAGTTCGATATTTTGCTGTGACCTCCTAAGGTCAAAGGTCATCCTCGAAGCTTTTTTAGTCAGAGGATCCTGAATCATTAACATCTCCTTCAATCTTAATCATAATCTCTCTCTCTCTCTCTCTCTCTCTCTCTCTCTCTCTCTCTCTCTCTCTCTCTCTCTCCTCCTCTCTCTCTCTCTCTCTCTCTCTCTCTCTCTCTCTCTCTCTTTCCCCTCTCCCTCCCTCCCTCCTTCTCCCTCCTTCTCCTCCCTCTCCCTCCCTCCCTCCTTCCCTCCCTCCCTCTCCCTCCTTCCCTCCCCCCCTCCCTCCCTCCATCTCTCCTCTCTCTCTCTCTCTCTCTCTCTCTCTCTCTCTCTCTCTCTCTCTCTCTCTCTCTCTCTCTCTCTCTCTCTCTCTCTCTCTCTCTCTCTCTCTCTCTCTCTCTCTCTCTCTCTCTAGTTCTCTTTATCTCTCTCTTTCTACTCCAATTCTTTCTTTGGTAGTACCGTTTTATCGTTGCGTTTACATCCATAGTCTTCATTCTTCATTTATTAATTTTAGGATTATTGTCCGTATTTACCCTGTATCTGACTTTTATTATTTTTATCCTTGAACCTTTTCATCTGATTGTCCGATCTTTATCTTAGTTACATCAAGTTCGGAACTGCTCTTGTTTGGGACCCTAGATCGCGCGCTTTCTATTTTTTAGTTGAGTCTCCCCCTTTCGCTGTTGTCACTGCTTCGTTTTCTTTCCCTTTGCGCCCTTTTTGTTCTCTTTTTTTAACCCTTTTTCTACATCGCTGTGTGTTTGTCCTCTCTCTTTATTGGTGTTCTGTTTCCTTTGTTGTTCTCTGATTCTCCCTCTTGTTATTTCCAATGTTCTTTTTCTTTTGTCTGGTTGTTCTTTTTTCGTCCGTTCACTCGGTGTTTAGTTCAGAAGCGGAGGATATTTTAGTGCCGTTTGCGTTTCCTGTGTATCGCTTTCCTGCTACCATTGTTGCTGTTCCTGGCATCGCTGGCTATTTAATATGGCTTCGATATGTGGTTATTTCTTTAGATCATTCTGTGTAAGGTATAAATGGCAACGGTGTTGAAACATCATCATCATTTATATATATGACTGTTGCTGCTGTTTGTAGTGTGTGTGTGTGTGTGTGTTGTGTGTGTGTGTGGTGTGTGTGTGTTGTGTGTGTGTGTGTGTGTGTGTGTGTGTGTTTGTGTGCGTGTTTTGTATTATTAATAATAAAGTCAATGTAGAAAATCCTCTATATTTGCGTTGATATATACGGCTGTTGCTGTTGTTTAGATAGGATATTATTTTTGTCAGTTATTAGTAATTATAATGATAATCATGAATGTCATTTTGTTTTCATTAGTGTAATTCCAGTTACCAATCATTTTATTCCATATGCACTGGGCAGTTTCCTCTGCACACCCGTCGAAAATACATTTCCCGCTAATGCACCAGATCCATGAGATCTGAAAAAAACACATAAAAACCGTTTCTGCTAATTCATACATCCATTCCGTACACAGCATTGTACACATGCACATCTACACGCATTCAGTGATACCCCGTTGATTTACCCATACAGTCAGGATAAAAACAACTTAGTTTTGTAACTTCGAAAGGCGTCCTTGTTAATGTTATTTGAAACAATATGTTTTTACTATTTTGCTTTATTTGTGTGATAGTGAATTAAGTATCAACCACAGAAAGTCTATCTTACTTTGGAGCAGAAATGAAGTTAATTAGAAACATTAGCTTATGAATCTACGAAATATGCGTTTTTTTTCAAACGCTTTTAAAAGTTTGTATGTATTTCAACACACAAACCCACACTCACGCTCACACACAAAGCCTTTTCTTATATTCGACTACAGAACTTGTAGAAGATATCTATCTATCTATCTACCCATCTATATATTTCTCTTTCTCTATCTTATGTGCATCTAGCTCTGTCATCGAGCCTCCACGATTCATTTTCTTCGACTTATGTTATCTATTTTATCCTTCCTACTTTGTTTGTATGGGATATTTTATGTTTCTTTCTTGTCTCATTCTTCATTTTTTCTCGCTTTCTCCGTAATTCACAAGAGTTATTGGAATTTCATAATGGTCGACCTCGTGGATTTAAGAATTTTCTGCCTCCTCGGCGATTGGCTCAATTAATTCCGGGTTACAGCGATTTTCATGAATTGCAAAGCTTCTGCAGGGGCGGTTGCCGTTTTGGCGGAGTTGTAACAGGTGTGTGTGTGTGTGTGTGTGTGTGTGTGTGTGTGGTGTGTGTGTGTGTGTGTGTGTGTGTGTGTGTGTGTGTGTGTGTGTGTGTGCGTGTGTGCGTGTGTGCGTATGTGCGGGAGCCATAAGTAGATATAGTTGCGTATCGCAATATACTGGCTGTATCAGGCTCCATTAGCTCAAACGTATACGCCGGCAACAATCAATTTCACTGTCCACATAATTTGATATCATTTCTCTACCGTATTGATCCATCCAGTGACGATGCCCAGACAGCATGCCTTAGATTACCATGCAAGGACTCGAATGTTTGTCCGAGAGCCGTGGTGTATAATGATATTGCTGTATGGTAGTTGCCTGGCATTTGAGAGGGCATTCTGCAGTGGATTCTGTTCTGCCTGCCGTTGGGTGCGTCTCGGCAGGAGCGGAAGCGTCTTTGGCTGATGTAGGTGTAGGAATGGAATGGCATTTACAATTTCCTTTTTTTTTCTTTGTCTCTTTCTCATTCTGTGTCTCTTAGCGATTCTCTCTCTTTCTCTATGTATCTATCTATCTATCTCTCTGTCTGTCTGTCTTTCCGTACCCCTTCCCTCCTCCTCTCTCTCTCTCGTTCTCTCTTAATACTTCCGCTGGGTCTTTTCTTCCTATCCTTGCTCCCTCTTTCCTTTATTCAAAACGTTTTCCCACAATTTATCCGTTGTCGCATTGCACGACCTTTACTTTCAACGAATCCAACATAACCCCCTGTGTCTGCTCGTCTTTAATTTCCGGTAAAGGCAAGGATACTTGAAAAACATTTATCATATACAGGAATCAACACTTGCATAAGTAGTGAACGCTGGTATTTGTATTTATCACGATAAGTCTTTAAAAAAAAGGTATAAGGTTTATTCAAGTATTTTTCAAATGTGTCATACATATTTTATTTTAGTCTGCTTCTCTTTTTTGAGACTTTGTATTGTTGTGTTCATTATATACCCAATCTTTTGGTATAATTTCAGGAATGGTTTTTCATATAACTTTTCATATAGATCGTTTTGTTTTTACACCATTGAATATACTAATATCTGACTTTAGCATTATTCTTATTCTTAATTCTTATTTTTTAATTCTTATTCTTAATCTGAATGTCATGTATTTTTATAATATTTCTAATATATTTTTTTCTCTTATTCATAGGTAAGGCAGCGGATCTTGGCACAGGATCTACGACAGGTGATTATGCTCGAGGTCTTGAGTGTTGACGCAGCATCTTCTCGCGTGATGGATAGATTACAGATGACTTTGTGTGGTCGGTTGTGAGATGATGGGATGCTGAGGACGCTGGAGAAGAGGATGGGGGATTGGGTGAAGGGAAAAGGGGATTGAGGATGTCGAAAGAGGGTGGAGGTGTGGATGGGATTGTTGAAGAAGAGGATGGAGGATTGGGTGAAGGGAAAAGGGGATTGAGGATGTCGAAAGAGGGGAGGATGGAGGATGTGGGTGAGGGAAAAGGGGGAGAATATAGATAAAAGAAAAAGTTTGGAAAGAAATTAGATAATGATTTGTAAGAATGATGTGAACAGTCATCATAGGCATAGAAAATACACAAAGATAAAGCGGATTAACGAGAACTAAGAAAAAAAAGAAGCAGATAAAGAAAATGAAGCAAAGAGCGACAGAAGCAGAGAGAAAGGCAGGAAGGCAGAACGATCATTGATGACTGCATTTCATCACGTCTACCCCCCCCCCCCCCCCAAAAAAAAAAAAAAAAAAAAAATCTTAAGCGCTAGGGATTGTATTGGCAACCCGGGACTGTGATTTATGAAGGCAGCTTTTATTGAAGATAATCATATTCTGTGGTAATGGCCGTTGTCGATTTATGTCTCATAAGACGACGGATATTAGACCGCCCGAGATTTATTTTATGAGTTAGATGTATAAAATTGTGTAAATTTATATGAGGATTCATGATGGATCTGATTGGGTCGGGCGAAGAAGGCAGGGAAAGAATTGCGTTGTTGGCACTCAAGGTGAACATGGTAGGGTTTCATTGCCTTTCTGAGATTTAAAGGCAGGTTTGTTTTTGTTCGTTTCGCAGGAAAATTATGTTTTGCCTTGGGGGGGGGGGGAAATGCTCTCTTGCTGGATTCTCTTTCTTTCTCTCTCTTTCTTTCTCTTTCTTTCACTCTCTCTCTCTCTCTCTCTCTCTCTCTCTCTCTCTCCTCTCTCTCCTCTCTCTCCTCTCTCTCTCTCTCTCTCTCTCTCTCTCTCTCTCTCTCTCTCTCTCTCTCTCTCTCTCTCTCTCTCTCTCTCTCTCTCTCTCATATTTTATCTCCCTCTCTCGCGCCCTTCTTCCTTCCCTCTCTCCTTCCTGTCCCTCACCCTCCCTGCCTTCCTACTTCCCTTACTCCTCCCTTCTATCTTTCCTTTTCTGTCTCCTCTCTCCTCGTCTGTCTCTCCCTCCTCCTTGCCCTCACTCCTTTTCATCCTTCTCCTTCTCCCCCTCCATCTCTCCCTCCCTCATTTTCTTCCTTCTTCTCCCCCTCCATCCCTCCCTCCTTCTCTTCTGCCCAACCCAACCTCCGCCCAGCGCCAACCCCAGCCCGCCCACTCCCACCTAGTGCTTGGACCTGTGGCAGCAGCAACAGCGGGAGAAATGAGAATGACAGTGGCACATGACACTTTTTTTTTTCTCTCTCTCAGTCTTTTTTTCTCTCTCTCTCTCTCTTCTCTCCGCCATGATGGATTTTGTTCCCGCCAAAGAATATCGTTCACAATAAAAATCAGGACCACATTGTGTTTCCGCGGGAGGCCCCCGAGTCGATTCTGATCGCCAGGCTACGTGAGGTGACTGCGGGGGCTGGCTGGCGACGGAGGAGGAGGGGCGGAGGAGGAGGAAGAGGTGGAGGAATTGGAGGGTGGTGGAGGAAGGGGAAGGTGGGAGGAGGAGGAAGAGGTGGAGGAATTGGAGGGTGGTGGAGGAAGGGGAAGGTGGAGGAGGAGGAAGAGGTGGAGGAATTGGAGGGTGGTGGAGGAAGGGGAAGGTGGAGGAGGAGGAGGGGATGGAGGAATTGGAGGGTGATGGAGGAAGAGCATGGTGAGGAGGAGGAGGGGATGGAGGAATTGGAGGGTGGTGGAGGAGGAGGGAGGAGGAGGAGGGGGAGGGTGTGTGGGAAGGGAAAGATGGAGGAAGGAAGAGACCATGAGGGAAGAAGAGGGGAGGGGGGGTGCGTTGGGAAAGGAGAAGGGTGTTGGGGGGGGGGAGAGGTTGGTGAAGCAGGATGGGGCTAGGGGGGTAGAGGAGGGCGAAAAGGAGTATGGAGGTGCCTGGGAAAGGATGGGAGGAGGGAAGGAGGTGGTGAGCGAGGGAGTTGGTGGGTAAAGGAGGGAGGTGTTGGTAGAGGAGGATGGGAGGTGGCGGAGGACGGAAGGAAGGTGGGGGTTGAGAGAGAACTGGTGGGGGGACGGGAAGGGGAAGGGGGCGGAGTGGAGTAGGGGTTGGAAAGAGAGCTGGTAGGGGAAGGAAAGTGGGAAAAGGTGGCGGGCGGAAGGATGGAGGGGAAGGAGAGAGAGTTGGCGGGGAAGAGAGAGTTGGCGGGGGATGGAGAGTGTGAGGTGGCAGGGGACGAAGGGGAGTAGGTGGTGGAAGGAGAGTTGGTAAGGGAGGGAGGAGGGAGGAGGTGGGTTGGAGGTGCTGGGGGAAGGAGGGTGAGGAAGGAAAGTTTACAGGGAGGGTGGCAGAGGGAGGAATAGAAGGGGATGGGGGAGAGAATTTGTGGGGAAAGGAGGGAGGGTATGGTGGAAGAGGTTGGGAGGGAAAGGAGGAAAGGAAAGAGGGATGTGGGAGAGAGTTGGTGGGAGAAAAAGGGAGGGGTTTGTGGGGGATTGAGGAAGGAAGGGCTGGAAGAGAAAGTTAGAAAGAGAGAGAAGAGTGCTTGGGGGAGGGAAATGAGTGAAAGAAAGTGGTCTGAGTTGGATGGAGCTAGAATAGGGGCATGTAGAGGAAGGGAGGAAGTTTAAAAAATAAAAATGGAGGAAATGAAAACGAAAAGGGAAGGGGGTGAGTAAAAGGAGAAGAATAAAAAAGTATGAAGTAGAGAATGAGATGGAGGGAAGAAGAAGAGACCGAGGAGTAAAGTAGGAAGATGGAGAGAGAGAACAAGTGGAAGGGGAAAAGTATAAGAAAGTGATGAGGATAATGGAAATGGAGATAAAGAAGATAACGAAAATGGAGATAAAGAAGATAACGAAAATGGAGACGAGGCGCAGCAAGTAGAGGAAGGGAAAAGCAAAGTGGAAGAGGAAATGAAGAAGCAAAAGAAGAAGGAGAATTAAAAGGGGGAGGAAGGACGCTGGCTGATGAAGTGTAGAAGTGAGGAAAGGAAAGGAACATAATAAGAAGAATGGATAAGAGGATAATGAGGGTAAATGTTAAAAAAAAGAATGGAAAACGCGTGAAGCGAAGGAATAGAAAATTGAATAAGGACAAGAGAAGTACGAAGAAAATGAACTGGAAAATAGGATAAAGAAAGTGAAAATGGTGAAAAGGGATAAGATTTGGAGAGAGCATGCTTAAGCCTTTTTTAAATAGAAAGAAAAAGCCTAAACCATAAAGAAATCTTTATTCCGATAGGACGAACACGCAAAATGTATAATAAAAAATGGAACTGTGAAGAAAAGGAGAGAAAATGAAGACCGACAGAAGGATGTGGAAAGAGGTCAAGAGTGAGAGATTGGTAAGAAGGCGAGCCGAGATAAGCGAAATGAAAAGAAAAGAGAAGAGAGATGGTGTAAACGGTTACCACTCAGCCATGACACACAATCACCTTGGGGCATTTAATTTCATGTTTTCTGACACTAATATTTTTCATTTATGTGTTTTCAGACGACAGTTTCACCTTTTATTTTAATTGTTTTTGTATGTTTTTTCGTCCTTCTAAGACTTTTTTAATTCTTATTTTTCGTTTGTCTTTGTTTCCATTACTTTTTTTTCCATTTGGTTATCTTGTAATGCGGTTAAGTCTAATCCGTTGCCTCCATGAAAGAGACACAGCGCAAAGAGACACTACAATATTCTTATGCATGTTTTTTTTATATTCCTTTCTTTTTCATTTCTTTATTGTTTTGTCTTCTTCTCTTTCGACCTTTGTTCTTTTGTTCTTCTTCACTGCTCCCTCTCCTCCTCCTTACTCTTACTCTCCATCTCGCTCTACCTCTCCTTCTCCCTCACCCCCTCTATCTCCTGCTCCCTCTCCCTCCCTTTCCCTATCCCTCCCTCTCTCCCTCTTTCTCCTTCTTCCCTCTCCCCCTCCCACCCCTCTCCTCTCCCCCGCCTTCTCCCTCTCTCAGAACCGCCGAGACAGAGGAGGTCCCTCGCACCTGGCACGCGATTCAAAAAGTTAAGGGACTGCCGCGACAAGTTGAAAATTATTGAAGACGTTCTGGCGTTGTGTCTCGAGGTCCGTCCCTCCATAAACACTGTATCTTGTCCGTCTCCTTCGCTTAACATTCCTCGAAGCGGGAGTCTCGTGCGTGCGTGGGCCTTGTCTCGCGTGGTATGGAGAGCGCTTTTAAGCTGTTGGGTGGATGGATGGCCTTGGTGACTCGTGGTGATGGCTTGCGATTTTGGGTTTGAAGGAAGGTGTACGTTTATTTATGGGATTCCTTAGATTCACTTCTCTGTTTCTCTGTCTCTCTCTCTCTCTCTCTCTCTCTCTCTTCTCTCTCTCTCTCTCTCTCTCTCTCTCTCTCTCTCTCTCTCTCTCTCTCTCGCTCTCTCTCTTCTCTCTCTCTCATCTCTCTCTCTCTCTCTCTCTCTCTCTCCTCGTTCTCTCTCTCTCTCTCTCCTCTCCCCTCGCTCTCCCTCCCTCCTCCCTCCCCCTCCCTCTCTCTCTCTCTCCTCTCCCTCCTCCCTCCTCCCTCCCCTCCCTCCTCCCTTCCCTCCTCCCTCCCCTCCCTCTCCCTCTCCCTCTCTCCCTCCCTTGTTCGTTCCTCCCTCCTTCCTCCCTCCCTCTCTCCTCCCTCCCTCCCTCCCCCCTCTCTCCCTCGCCGCCTCACACATCGACAATATTTGTCCGTCTGACCTCCACCATCTCCTCCTTCGCTTCTTGGGCAGCTCTGTAAAGGAAAATTTATACCTCCCTCGGCCCATTATATCAAAGCAGCGAGCGAGCGGACTCCTTCAGATGCACGCGGGCAGAACCTCTCGTGTTGTGCTTTTTTTAGGGGTGTGGGGGCGTTATAGCACACACACACACACACACACACACACACACACACACACACACACACACACCACACACACAGACAGAGAGAGAGAGAGAGAGAGAGAGAGAGAGAGAGAGAGAGAGAGA